CTTTTTGGCTGCTCAAAATGCGTTCGGTGTGAACGTAGCATCAGCCTGCAAAAAATCTGTCAGAGTTGCTACCTTTTATGTGTTTAGTTTTCTACTTTCAGAACAACCTGTCTATCAGCTATAGATGAAACTGCTAACTTCAAGTCAATCATTTCCTATYCTTTATATTTGTGGTTTTGAGCCATTGATATGTTATTGGAAGTATTGCAGACAGAGTTTAACATTCAGCAGGCTCTGTCAGACCTAATTTAAAAATGATGTGGCTCAGCGTATTACATATCAGAAGTAGTTGACACACAAAGTCTCACAAACTGCATGGCTGCACATTAGGTAATTGACTCGCCGGGCAGCCTGGTGGGTTAAATGAGGGAGCAAGTCTAAGTGAATTAATGTAACTCGACAAGCTGCATTGTCCTGACTCTTTCAGAGAAGAATTTCGCTCATCGTTATGTTGGCGCAGCGATAGACTGTTCAAATACTAACTTGATCAGCTTTTTGTGTTTCCATTCGCGCATTAAACTTTAATATCTTTTCAGCGATTGAACGTGAAGTTGAATAAGACAGCAGCTAATGGGGTTTTTGTAAGATAATGCATTTTTTCATTGAGCCAACACTACCTGCTCTCTCTTGGCACCTGCTTTGTCAAAGTTTGCTTTTGTTTTTTTTTTACTTTCTAGAGCTAAAAACAGAAATTGTGATAGAGTCTTGTCTTACAGGAAGTGTTGGCCAAGCACTTTTCTCATGAATAGGGAAACTTTTATATGGTTTCAGTCTTAAAACCACACCTTCTGTTGACTGTCTTTTAATATATTTTGCTGTGTATTTTTAACACAATCAGACCAACGAGGATTAAGAGTAAAGTGAAGAYRAGCRGCACATTTAGAACATAAGAATAGGTCTGGTTATTTAAAGTCTGCAGTTTATCTCGTTAGCACACAGTGTATTTTGTTTAGCTTGCTAACTGACAGTAGCAGTTGTAGAAATTGCAACTCACTAGTTGTTACCATCAGATTTCTGAAAACCAACGGTGGAATGTAGGGCAATGATGATTTTGTTGTTTGTTGTTTTGATTTTTGTTGTAATTTACTTTTCTTTTAAACATATTTTGGGTATAAAAATGGGCAGATATTATAAGATTTATTCTTCTTCTGGTGCCTTTTCATTTTATTTGATTTTCTTTTGATTGCATGTTTTTTGTTCTTTGTTATTTTGTGTYATAAATTAATTGAATAAATTTCTAAATAAATAAATTTTTGTTGTAATGTACATTTACTGTAACCATCTTTTACAGGCATGTATAAACACAATCCTGCCTTATATTGCATTAGATTTAACTTATTTCTGATCAAATAAGCCATGTGTTTATTTTGAACCCCTGAGCTATTTTTTTTCCTTTTGTATCATTTGCACTGTACATCAGCTATGCAATATTATGACCTAAATATTATTGGTACAAAATATAGTACTGGCATTTAAGCATAGTTTAACATGTCAAGTAGGAAACGTTTTGAAATAGTTTACAATAGTTCATTTTTTATCACTCTTTTGCAGCCTCCTCTGCTGAAAGCTATTTTCAATGTGGACCCAGATGAAGTACGTTCGCTCATATTCAAAAAAGAGGACGTGAATGCACAGGTAATCCCCGCTGTCTTCAGTGTCTGCATCTGTTTCCTCAAATTGTTTTTACAGTTTATAAATTCCCTGCAAAAAGGAATGTAAAATCTCTCATGGGCAATTGTCCTTGAAAGGACYCCTGCAGCACTTACATACAAATATTGAATACGAATTGGCACGTTTTATGTATCTTTTTTTTTACAGTCTGCGCTGCACAATCTGACTGTGCTTATTTTATTTATTTCCTCACCACTACTGATCTGAAGGGGGTGTTTGTTTCAAAATCTGGCTGGTTTACACTTGTTTGTGCTTCAGTGGAATGCTTTTCTGACTTTGGATTTAACCCCCTTTGTTCTGTAAAACATGGCTATTGGCTAATTAAAAAAATGTTTATTGGTTATTTGCATTACCATCACTCATTACTGTATAATGTGAACAGTAAGGATAAACACTGACTTTATTGTTAGATCCAGCCCAGACAGTTTAAAGTAGAAGAAGAGAAAACAAGCTGAGCTGTTAAATGAATCACAGCCATGTCTTTGCTCACTTCTTACAGGACAACGAGAAGCGGACTCCTCTGCATGCTGCTGCCTATCTTGGAGATGCAGAAATTATAGAGCTGTTGATTCTATCAGGTATGGTTTCTAATTGGCTGTAAGGTATCATTCATCTGTCTTCAGTTTTTTTTCAAGTGAGACAGAATGGTTTAGTGCAACAGCATAAACGTGATGAGCTGTTTTTTATGTCAAAGAGATTATCGAGGAAATAACTTAAAGCTTCCTGTTTACTTGATCTAAAAGAGAATACAAGTTTTGATTACAGGTCAGGGTTGTTTAAATCTGCAGTGTTGAAAATATGACAGAAAYGGCTGTGCTTGTCATTGTGACTCAGCAAGTACCACTCTTTATGTAGTTTGTATTACTTAAAACGTTTGAAAATTATTCTCAACTTGTATAACTTTTTYAAACATGGAGACTCTGCTTTTTGTCACTGACAAACGCAAACGTTTGTTACAATGATGCATTCAAAATAGGTAGCTCAGCAGAATGGATGATGCATGATAATGTGCATTCATTGTGGAAATCCTCTGGAGTAGATCGATCCCATCATGAAATACCTTTTCTTTTGTTTTTCTTTAAGGACAATTACCTCAGGTATAACTAATGATCTGACAGTGTATGTCCTTTTGACGTTTTATAGGTGCAAGAGTAAATGCCAAAGATAACAAGTGGCTGACTCCCCTGCACCGGGCTGTGGCTTCTTGCAGCGAGGTAGGCAAATGCTCACCTGGTTCTGGGTCAGTCACACACCTACACGCTGTTTTGCATACCTAAGAGATGCTGAAAGTAAACGCTTGCAACGTGTTCTTCCTACAGGAGGCTGTCCAGGTGTTGCTGAAACACTCTGCAGATGTAAATGCCAGAGACAAGAACTGGCAGACGCCCCTTCACATCGCAGCGGCCAATAAGGCAGTTCGCTGCGCCGAAGCTCTCGTTCCTCTTCTTAGCAACGTGAATGTATCGGACCGAGCAGGCCGCACTGCGCTGCACCACGCAGCCTTTAGCGGTCACCTGGAGGTAACGTTAAACCCAAACTATTGCCCAATAGAGCTGTAAGATGTACAACAGGAGCACTTCAGTGTCGTTAATATTGATTGGGTTTAATTAAATGCAATTTGCTGGAGGAGAGCGGGGTGTGATGCGCCTCGTTTGGATTTAAAGAGACAGCCTCAAAACGAGTCGATCTGAGACACACATCAGAAAAGGGGTAAAAGAGGGGCTTGTGGAGTTACAGTGAGGAATTCAGACCAAAGCATTGTAGTTCCACTTTATATAGACCCCAACTTAGGGCTGGGTGGTATGACCTCAAACTCATATCAGGGTATAAATTGAATCCATTCACAGTAATGGTATATATCACGGTAGAAAATGATCATAAAAAGCAAAGATGGTATAATTTTTAGAGCTTTTATTTTGCAGAAAACTAATCATAATCAAACCCAGCATTTTTGCTTTAGTATCTGTAGTAGTCRATGAGTTTACTGTTTTATACTACTTCTGTGATATTACTACTATTTCTACTTCCTGTTATCTTCTTCGTCATCGTCTTTTTCGCCAGTAGAAACAGYCRGTTGTTGATCACGTGACTCCCGTGATGCGAAAAAAGTGTTTCCATTGCAGTTTTGCGAAAAACACCAATTTCGATACGACCGAAAAACCACCTCATCCTAGCGCAAAAACATTTTGTTGAAAAAGGTAATTTTTCTCGAAATTGACGTGTTTCCATTGAACAAATTTATTTTCGAAATTCTAATTTGCGCATTTTCATGGTCAATGGAAACACAGTTATTTAGACATTTAAAAAAGTTGGCATAAGTTGCCTAAAATGTTATCGTGTGACAGGACCTTAAGGGGCTTAAGCTGCACATAGTCCTGTCATAAAACAATTTCAGATAACTGGAATGTAAGTGTGGTGAAGCCAAATAAATGTAATATCTGCCTGCCATACATGGGCTTCCGCCAGCTGAACTTAGCTGCTGCTCTGCTGCTCTCAGAGCAGAAGATGGATTTATGACTGAACGACGTCCACGTCTTTTTTTTAATCATCTCTGTATGTAACAATACATCAAAAAAACAAATTTTCTCTGACAACTTGGGTGTGAAAAAACTAAAGTTGTTAAAGCTTCGCTCTTCGCGACGTGCAACGGGAGGGAGGAGGAAATGATCCTGCGACACGACGTAACTTTTCTACAGCAGGAGGGGGAATTTTTATTCTCTCTCGACTCTTTTTTTAACAACTCCTCCCGCTCAGTTGACAACAGGATGGTAGAGGGTAAATTTCCACCTTAGGCCAACTTTATATCGTTTTTACCTACCATCTATAGTGTATACCGTGCAGAACTGAATGATTTAAATGACCCATATTGCACATTCAGCAAATTATTTATTTTACACTTGCATTATAAATGCATCACTTAAGGAAATAATGATTTGAATAGCTCTTTGGCTCTTATCACTTCTCTGTGTCTTTTCTTTTTTATTTTAGTTAATTTGTGCTGCATGTACACATTAATGACTGTTAATGTCTCATTTGTAAAATACATTTTTACCAACAATTTAGATGTAGCTACCTATGGATGCAGGAGGCAAATCCTTCCACTATTTTAGCCAGCAATTGAACCATGCTGACCCCGAGCTTCTGTAACTTTTCTTCTGCAAAATTCTAATGTAAAACTAATCAGCCTTCTTGTGTGGGTGTTGCTCAGACCCAGTCTAGTCATCCAAAACATCACAACAAACTAAAAGAGATGTTTTTTTTAATAATAATCCAATATATTACAATAAAAAAGTATATATTTTATGCCACAGTTGCAGACTTACGTTGTTGGGCTTGCACTCTAGGAATTTGCACTGATGATTCTTGTCCAGTCATGTTTTTACTAGCAAATGGTTCACTGTAATCATATACTGAATTGCAAAAAAAAAAAAAAGGAATCACAAGACTGGAATTGTCTTGTGTTGTGTTTCTACAAATGATAGAGCTGTTCTGAGAATTTTGTCGAGTCGTACTTCCAAGAAATACGACAAATACAAACTCAGAAAAAAGGAGGTGTGGCCTTGGTAACTTGGTGACTAAACCTGCCACAATTCAGCTGATGCATTACACTTCACTGCTTTCTGCAGTTATGTTGTTTGTAGCAACATTGAGCATATTTGTATTGAGTCAAAGAGGTCGCATAGTTTTAATAATCTAATGTTCAGACACGAAAAACACTACTTAGATTATTGAAATCAGGGTTTTCAGGACAGTGTTGATAAAGTCCATTAGCCCTGATAAAAGCTGTTCAACACTGATTATGCAGAGCCTACATAAGTAATCAGACTGGGAAAAGAAAAGTTATTCATATTTAGTTTTCATCTTCCTCTGATAATTAAATTAAAMTCATTTTTGCCTTTCCTAGATGGTGAGGCTCTTGCTCTCCAGAGGAGCTAACATTAACGCTTTTGACAAGAAGGATCGCCGTGCAATCCACTGGGCGGCCTACATGGGTAAAAAATAACTTTCATCTATTGGAAATTATGTATTTGTAAGACCTTTTAGAGGTTTAGTGAAAAGACTTAAATGTGACTGAATATTTACATTGATAAATCTTGATGATATATTTTCCTTGTTGCATTCAGGACACATAGAAGTGGTGAAGTTGCTGGCTTCTCATGGAGCTGAAGTGGCCTGCAAAGATAAGAAATCCTACACCCCMCTACATGCGGCAGCCTCTAGTGGAATGATTAGTGTTGTCAAATACCTCCTGGACTTAGGAGTGGATGTAAGTTCCACCCACAGACTTGCCGTGCATGATATCCTTTTGTGTCAGATAACAACAGTGGTTCTATATTCGTACCAGCTTGTTTTGATAAAAATAGCATGACTGCRTTCTGTTGTTTTGTTCAGATCAATGAGCCCAATGCGTATGGTAACACACCCTTACATGTGGCCTGCTACAACGGGCAGGAYGTGGTGGTGAACGAGCTTATTGAATGTGGAGCAAACGTCAACCAGGTGAACGAGAAGGGCTTCGCTCCGCTCCACTTCACCGCCGCTTCACGGCATGGAGCGCTGTGTCTGGAGCTCCTGGTGTGCAATGGGGCTGACGTCAACATAAAGGTCAGCAGAACCAGAAAGTTTACTCGCATGTTTTGAAATACTAGTAATCCGGAAAAGAAAAAACAAAGAGTGCCTGTATGGGATAAATCTTGTGCCAGCAGGAATTGAATTTGAATTGTTCAGATTGAATCTGAATGTGCATAATTTGAAATTAAATGCATTGGTTTGAAAATGAATTGTACTAAATTGAAACTGAATTTATTGATTTGAGAATGAATTAAAAGTTTTGTATCTGAATTAATTTGCTTTGAAACTGTATTTTGGTTTATTAAAAATTCAGTTTGACCATTTGCACTTTCAGTTCCACAATTCAATTTCAGTTCCATAATTCAGATTTTTGTGTCACACATCCTGGTCCTTGAGAAAGCCAGCCAGAGTAATCAAACACAGATCCACAGATTTATGTTTCACTTTGGTGAAGTTTTCCTTCTGTATGTAATAGAGTTGATGACAAAAACTGGTTGTCCGCAAAACATTTTGGTTGTCCAAAAAATATCTCAATAAAAATGTTATTTAATAAGTAGTAGGGGTGTAAGAAAATATCAATACAATGAAATATCGCGATATTTCATTTCCCGATACTGTATCGATATTCTAAAGCCC